CCCCAGCCAACACGTGACTGCTTGCATCGCACGTATTCATCATACAAGTACCGTAGAGCCAAGTCATTTCACGACAGTGGCAGCATGAAACTAGAGATGCGCTGCAAGATGCCCAGGAAATGAAAAACAGAACAAAGGCCGATAACACGATCGCGCTTCCGTATAACTACAACAAAATCCTATTTACAGCTAGCTATTCACCCTTGCAGCTTCATTAAATATCCGCAAAGGCACCTCGTCGGTTGGGGTGGGGTGGGGGGGGGATGAGGATCTTGTCCGGAGAATCAAGAGACAGAATCTCTTCGTAATAGGTTCACAAATATGAGGAGGGAGTCCCGCGTCTCGTCAGGGACGTCCGCCTCATTGAAAATCAAGACGCCAGAAAAAGGAGGCCAGACGAAGGTCTCCGAGGACATGGAGTGAATACCACCCGGCCCTGCTGCCCAGAACAGACTGGGTCCTTTTGAGAGAAGGCAATACACAAGAGAACGCCGTGCTGCCGCCACCTTGTCGCGAAGAACTGGGTTAAAATGTTCGCTCAGCGTTAAACAATAAGTTTCATCTAAAGGAGCACTGTACTCTAGAGAGGGCCTTGTCACTCCAGGCGTGTTGAAGCCGGAGTGTGGCGTTGACGGCTGCGAAACGCCCAATGACGTGAATAATTGAAGATGCTTCACGTCCCCATCGACACAATTTAAACTATTTAAGAGGCGGGCTGCTTCGACCATGGGGTCATGGTCAACCCGAGCTAAGAACGATACACAATCCCAGCAGAAAAATGGCAATGCTAGATACAAATTCTTCTCCCACACGGATATCAACTCAACCGCCTTATCTCTACAACACAAACGTCCCTAGCAAAACTGTCAGGTTGTTTAAGAGGCAAGACACTTGAGTATAACGTCCATCTCCGAAAGAACCGAGCCAAATAGGACATTCGTGTACAGGGCCTTTTCCAAGGACACAACGTCGGACTGAGCTGAGGATCCACCGACCCCCCGAACCCGTACTCTCGCGAATACGGGTCCGGTAGCCTAAGCACAAGGCTACCGATGCCACCGGTGAGCTATTCATGCAACTGTCCTCCTCGCAGAGAAGGAAAATCTCTACATATCGGTAAAAGTAAACTTCAGCCCTCCATTTGAAAATTATTTGACCTAGTACGCACGCCCAATGTCTCAACTCTCAAAGGGACTGCATTTGAGTAATCATGACGATATGTGGTATAGGCCCAGTGAACTTATTTGAGAATGGATTCGAGGGGAGGGGGGGGGTGGCAAAGTTTAATATAACATAGATCTTCATATTAGCTTACAAGGACCAACAGCAA